TTTTATTTTTATTTATTTATTTTTTTCCTGCGACACCGTCTTTTTTTTTTTTTTTTTCTCGAACTGAATGCACCAAACAGAAAACAATACGTCGCAGCCCCGCGTTACGCCTCTCTCCGCCGACTGCTGCACCATCGTTCTCCTTTTTAGAGCTCCTCACCTCATCGCATCATCTGCGTCTCTCGGATCGTCGAATTGTACAAAGCAAAAGCCGATCTGAAAAGTTTTTTTTCTATCATTAAAAACAAATATTTTTGCGAACAGATATAATACTCATATCTTTATAGAAAATAAATTCACCTTCATCTGAGAAGTAATAGAAATTAAAAAATAAATGTTATAATATTATATATTATATAAATTTATCACTATAAAACAGTCATAATAGTTAATTGGGCTTACATCAACTTCACGAATTCTTCCAAATTTTCCAAAAGCCTCATCGATGTCACGTTCTGTAACAGATCTGGAAAGGCGTCCTACAATATTTTATGAGGTATTATAAAATATTTGGTTCTAACTTCCGCAAATCTCTATGATTTAGAAGTATATGTGAAGTATCATTTTTATAGTTCTGCTCAACTGACCTACATAAAGTCTTGCGGAAAATTTGTCTGCACTACTACCACTACTACCATTACCGCTCCATCTTTTGCTATCTTCTTTACGATCGTCCGAATAAGACATTTTTGACCTGTTTTTTGAGAAAAGTAGTTTATTGGTGGGAATAATCAATGCGTTATTTATATGCATACGTTGTACAACAATGGATTATGTAAGCCCCTATTTTTTTATTGAATAAACTAAACAAACGCCTGTTATTTATTTATACCAGCTATTATGTCTCTTGTTGCTGATTACAGCTCGGACGCTTCGAGTAGCGACGAAGAAATTACAACAACTGCAGTAAATGCGGAAATTCCAAAAAATAATCTAATATCTTCCATACTTCCACCACCAAAAGTCACATATAAAAGCAAAAAGGACGGACCTGTAAAAATCATTGTTGATTTACCACAAGATGATCTTGAGGAGGAAGAAAACATATCAAAGAAACAGAAAACAAGCACCTCTAGTAGTTTATTTGCGCTCTTACCGGCGCCAAAAAGAACTATAACAAAGGAACAGAAACCAATCACTAATGGATCAACAACTCAAGATCCACCAAAAACAACAAATTTTGTGCCTCATGCAATCACGAAGAAGAAACCCATTATGCCAACAAAATCTGATAATTCCTTGGATTCTGACAAAACAGAATTTAAGCAAATAAATGCAAAAAATGAGAATGATATTGAAGATGCAATCACGATCACAGAATCATTTTTTCCGCTAGGTAAATAAAATATTTCCTTTTTTTTCTTTGTCGATTCTTCACGCTGTTAACTTATATATACCTCCTTTCAGGGCCTGAAATAACAAACATAAAATCAATTAATGGAACCAAGGATACCAGAAATGCATCAGCAGCTTCTATCACCATCGAAGATTCCTATGCAATTGCAGGTGCTTCGAACGTAACTGACTTTTCTCTTCCCACAGAAGAATATACATACGATGAATATTATAATAATGGTCAATGGCAAGAAAACGCAAATTCTTATATAGAATACCAAGGAATATATGATGAATCACAACAGCAAATAGAAAGTGAGCAAGCACAATCGAATTGGGAACTGGATGACGAAATGGTGGTTACCTAAAATTGTATTTAGTTTTCATATTTCGCAATTTAGCCAAGTTTAATACCGAGTTTTTCTTCAGTTTCAGAAGCTAGGTGGTAGAAGAGGAAAAAGGGAGGGACCAATTAAGATTAAAGAAATTAACGCGGCCGACCAAATGGCTGATTCGTGGCAATCTCAAGTTGCTGATTTGTCAAAACCAACCAGAGGATCAAGCGAAGGATCCGGGGTAAATCACATTATTTTATTGTATAAATATAAAGACACAAAATTGACTTGTTTTATGATTTAGCGTCTAAAACCTACTAGAGGTCAGAAAAGAAAACATAACCTAATGTATTTAGCATTTCATGCAACTGCAATGGAAAATGAATTGAAAGAACAGCATGCATCAAATAGGAAAACCAAGAGAGAAACACAAGCAAAATATGGTAAATATATTTTATATGATTTAAACTTACTTGAAGTTTATACATACATATTTATATAATTATGCTTTTATTGTATTTAAGGGTTTTAGAGATAGGTTTAATAAGCTTGTACCCACTGTCATTGAATTATTGTAACCAGTGTTTAAAATTTAAAAAAAAAAATCAAATTAAACCTTTTGTGTAACAAAACCGGCAAATCGGCTAAGCCAGCCGGCATAGCATAGCGGGCTTTCATTCCGATTGGCTAATTTTTGTAGATCATTTTTTTGCCGTGACTAGGATTTTATCCAATCAGAGGTGGTGTTGATCATTAAGAGAAGACATGATTTAACGATTACGAAATATTTAATTTTTATTAAAATAAATTGAGAAGCTAAACTGCGATTTTTATTATTATTTTTTTATTATCATTTTTTATTTTTTATTTATTATTATAGTAGTAAAAGACTAAAATACATATTAAAATCCAACATTAATAAATTATTCTATGCTGCTTTAAAATTATCCATAGCTATATTATAAAACCAATCAATATTACTATCTACAATTACATTGTCAACCTCAACAGTACTAGTGTTTTTCTTAGTAGTTTCTGTAGTATTTTGTTCACTTTCATTCTCAACCATTATGACTTCAGCTGAATTTATAGTATCATCAAAACTTCTGCAGTTTTTTTCAATTCCATTTACAAAGTAGTCTATACAATACTTACATTGACTGCCTAACTTAAATAATAAACATTCAAAGTGATAAGCATGACCACAGTTAAGTATAAATCCTACCTTACATGTTCTCATACAGTCTTTTAAGTTACAATATTTATCGCTTTGTAGAGGATGAATGGTGTTCTAGGCTGTTAATAAGGCTTTAACATCAATATCATCTTCTAATGTTAGAAATTTATATTTTGAATTTTTTGAAATCGACTGACCTATATTTTTATAAATATTAGTAAAAAGGTTTAGTAAAAATATTGCAGACTTCTTTTCAAGAAACTCTAGTTGCTTTGCTATATATCTGATATTATAATTGTCAAAGAAGGTTTTTACAAAAATATTATTATTATGCATCAGATCTATCATCTGTGCTTCCTAAATGATTTGATCTGCTATGTTGGATGGTTGTACCTAATATCTAATTAAACTATGAAAATTCTCTATATAATAATCATTAAAGATGTGAAGAGAATTAGCTAGCATCCACATGATAGGATGATTAATACTATTCTAATAAAACATATTGTTTAAAAAGGCTAGTAGTAACTTGTTATAATTTTTTCTCTTGTAATGGTAAAAAATACACCAAATACAAAACATAGCTTCTTGATAAACTGGCCAATTTCTACTATGAAATAAAACAGAATAAAAATCTAAAACTAGTAGAATATTATTATCAAGAAGGTTAATTAGATATTTGGCTTCAGAATCTTTTAACTGCTCTAACTTCTGTAAAATGATTGAACAGATTTGAAACCAGCCTTTAAATACTAATTCTAATAAAAGATTCATTTTGTAAGGCTTTGGCTTTTTAGCCAACACCTTCCTACTCCCATAAATATCATGAAAGAATTTATCAAAAAAAGAATAATTGACAAGAAACACAGATTCAAAAATATGTATAAAGGCCCAATTATTGGCATAATACGAAGAACCTGCTCCGGTATAGCAGAAGAATTCTCAAGTTTAATTTTATGGAAACAGCATGCTGTATATTAAGCTGTTTAGTGTAATTTAAAGACGCAACTATAATTTGATTCTCTAAATACGATTTTGCCTTATCGATATCTATCAAGCTTTGAAGAGTATTTATATAATGCTTTACTATACAAAGTTGACTCACTTTTAGTCCAACAAGTTTAGTATTATCTATACTCTAGTCTTCTTTACATTGTTCAATTCTACTATTATAACTATGAACTAAAAGATGTTTGACCTGTTCTTTGTGTGTTTCAGCTATAGAAACTGAATTAATAAACATCGACTTTCGCACCATATAACTATGCTATAAATAGGGATAAAAATATAAGTTAGCATTATCAATAATAATTTTTGCATCAATACCTTTTTCATTATGAATATTTTTATTTTTAATATTTGGAATTGATGCTATATCTGGTAGGGCTTTAAGCAATATGGTAATGAAGTAAAGAATTGCATATGTTGTAGTCATATTGCTATGGTGATACTTATATATGTTATGGAAATTATCAATGTTAAGCATGATTAACTTTCCATTCTAATAAAATTTATATTAATCAAT